CATGGCAGAGGCAGCCTGCTTAGTAGAACGGAGAGCAAGATCCGTGGTGCGGTGCAACTCAGCCATCTCATCAGAAGAAAAGCCCTTGCCTTTATCCAGGTCTTTCAGCAGGTCAGCCTGGTATACCTGGAGCACCGCCATCGTGTGCAGCGAAGCAACAGCCTGACCTGCTGCTGCGTATGCCGTGCCATTCAATTTAGATGTAGCTTGAAGGGGCACGGATGGTAAGGAGGGAGTTTTGAGAGACGATGTCTCACCCATAGAGAGATAGCTAGCTAGCGTCTCTTCTACAGGGGGCATTCTCTCATAGCTGTTTTCGCGCATCGCCTCGATGTTCGCATAACTGGTATGCTGAAACCGATGGATGCGTGAGGAAAACAACCTCTTCCATTTCTTCTCGATCTCAGTATGGAGATCAGGAAGGAAAGGAAGGCTCACCTGAGCTGGAGGGTTATGGCCAGAAAGATAACGTTCCTCGAGACGACCTCGCAATGTCACTTCCTTAGTTCGCTTCCACGGCAAGTCAAGCCTTGCCGTGGCGCGATCCATAACCTCTAAAAGCTCATCATAAGCTGAGCAGGAGGATTGAGAAGGCTCAGCCTCAGCTTCTTCGCTCTCTTCATCCATTTCCTGCTCTTCCTGGGCTGAACCCAGCAGAGCACTGGCCCCTTGATCAGATGATGTTAAAGAGAGAACATCATCTTTCAGCGGCTGTCTCTCGCTCGCCGCCGATGAGCGCGAGAGGGAAAGCTCCTCTTTAAACTCATCGGCCAGGTCCACCTGAGATCCCCACAAGCTCATTCTCCTCCGTGCCTCAGCAGCAGAGGGGCGGGAAGCAGATGGTTGCCCCTCTTTACTCGAAAAGAGAGACAAATGAGAACAGAGCTTTTTCATTGGAAAAAACTCACAATGCACGCAGATTGCCCATCTCAAGGACATCGCGTGCGTGCTCTTCACCCGAACAAACAACACATAGATCGTGTGTGTCATCTGGTGTCAAATAGCGATGACACGGATGCATACACCTTCTAAATGCTCTGCTAGTGCTCCCCATAATGAAAGAGATAGCTCTTACTTTTTCCTTGGAAATGCACGCTTCAAACAGAACAGTCAATGAAGACGAAGAAGAGAATGATGTGTGCTCCCGGCGCCTGTTTAAACTATAGTCGCACCGGTAGTGACGTCATGGCTGTCGCCGGCCAACGAGTTGGTGTTTTTTCAATGTATGCTTCAGACACGGGTCACGACGAGGCGTTCCGCATAGCGACCCCTAGAGGACGCAGTTCGAAGTTCCCATGAAAGGGAACCATATTTTTACAGGTAGCATTTTTCATTGTCGAATTGTAGTACTACCCACTGTTTTAATGGGAGGTAGCAAAATCTGATAGGGTAGCACAAATTGACAGAACGCCGGTAACAACCGGTAATAACCTTTTTTTCAGGCTTCTGATTGCCCAACATGGCTTTACGGTTAGGGTTATATCGGCACCTGTTGGTTTGGCATGCTCCTGACAGTGCTTCATAGCGTGTTTTTGCGTTTTCACGTGGACAAGATTTTTTTTTAAACAAAGGAGGAAAAACTTAGTTTATAAAAATATCCGTGTATGTGTAGACTAGGCCTTAGTTGAATTATAGGATAGAACAGTTCATCTACAGGTCACATGGTGCTTGTTCAGCAAACTCTGAAAACATACTATAGTCATAGCTGATGGAAAATATATAGTTCATAAATGTCCACAGCAGACATATAGCATATTGTGCATTTGTATTGTTTGTGAATATGAAATATCTGTATCAAAATTCATCTCTAAAGCATCAGAATATAGTTTCATTATCGACCTTGACAAAGTGACTTTCTGTCTCATCTGTGAGTTGAGCTGCTGTTACATAACTGCACATTCAAGCAGTTAAAGGGGTCATATGATGCTGCTAAAAAGAACATTATTTTGTGTATTTGGTGTAATGAAATGTGTTTACGCAGTTTAAGGTTCAAAAAACACATTATTTTCCACAAACTGTACGTTATTGTTTCTCCTCTATGCCCCGCCGTTCTGAAACATGTCGATTTTTACAAAGCTCATCGGTCTGAAAAGCGAGGTGTGCTCTGATTGGCCAGCTATCCAGTGTGTTGTGATTGGCCGAATACCTCAAGCGTGTGACGGAAATGTTACGCCCCTTACCATACTGTGATGCCCTGTCCGGCCGGAGCATATCATAAAACCATGTCTGCATTTGTGATCGGAGAAATGACAAACAACAAGTGCTACTCTACACTGCCCAAAAACTCTCGTTTGAATTGTCAGTGGCAAATTCTTTACAAAATGTGGTCAGTCTGCTTAAACCATTTCATTTGCGTTATGAACTCGGCTGAACCAGTTTCTGTTTTCTCAAGAAATAGGGGAGCAGGAAAACAATGTTGTTTATTTACCAACAACATACAGGTAAACCAGTTTTCTTCCTTTCTGTGTATGTTCCACATACAATGACAGAAATTATAGTTCAGGAAACAGGATCACACAAACATTCCTCTACAAACTATATCTAACAATCTCACTTTATTTCTCATGATTGCACCTTTATATCTCACCATTGTTGTTTCATGCATTTGTGAGCATATACAGTATCTTGTATATCTCAACATTGCAAATTATTAGAAGCCAGTTGGAGCAAAAATAGTGTCATGGCGAGTTAGTTGAGAAAATGTCTTAGCCATAAATATTTCTTACTGGTCATGCAATTGTGTTTTGCATTTTATTGTAATTAAGAAAGTTTTAAAATAAATATTTTGAATAAAATATTTTTGTCCTTATGACAAAGGTCACTGTACGTGTTACTTGAGAAGACGTGTGGCTTCCCTGTCAGATTCTTTGACAGATACATGTGCGTTTCAGCACATAACTTACATTTTACAGATGATCTAGCAGGGATCCTTTGCTGTAAATGTTAGAAAGTCACAAAAGTGTTTTCATTTGGCAAGTGAGTCATTAAACTTCAAAGACTTCACTGAAGGAGCCCTGGTGCTTGGATGCACGTCAAACAGATGAAGCATAGAGGAACATGAGCACAATAATTCAGACTAAAATATAGGCTATATTTAGCTAAAATATTGGTTACATTTTAGTATAGGGACCAATTCTCACTATTAACTAGTTGCATATTAGCATGCCTATTATTAACATATTGGCTGTTTATTAGTAGCCTACTTATAAAGCACATATTCTGCATTACCATATTCTTCATCCTTAATCCTACCCAATACCTAAACTTAACAAATGCCTTACTATTAATAAGCAACAAATTAGAGTTTATTGAAGCAAATATCTTAGTTAATGGTTTGTTAATAGTGAGAATTGGACCTTAAAATAAAGTCTGACCAAAATATTTTTGTAAGAGTGAAGAGATGAATATAATTATTATCTTCAGATGAGTAATTGTGTGTGTTCTTCTTACCTGTTGACAGTTAACAGCAAGTATCTGCTTTTGTTTTTTATTAATTTTTTATTTATTTATTTATCTGCTTTCTTAAAGGGGTCATAGGATGCTACATGCACTTTTACAAGTTGTTTGAACTGAAATGTGTCTTGGCAGTGTGTGTGCACAACCACCCTATAATGATAAAAATCCACCCAGTGTTTTTTTGTTAATCTACTTTCTTAAATCGAGCCGATCTCAGATGCCTGTCTGTGTGACGTCACACAGACAGGCATCTGAGATCGGCTCGATTTAGATGTAATAATGAACATAGCAGTCGTCATTTACTCCCGACATCTGAGCAGCTGAAGATGCAATGGATTACATTTGTTTTTGAAGGGAATGCTCCCTGATCTGCCTAAATGTGTCTATGTTCACGCGAATCATTCATGAGCCAGCCTCATCTACAGAAGTGAGTGTAATGTTTTGTAATGAATCTTTGCAAATCGACTTTCCTAATAATGTGCTAATTAGCAAGTTTCACGATGAATGCGCCTAAAGTAAACAGTCCCTCAGAGAGCGGCTTGGAAGAGAGGGGCGGGGTCAGCAGAGCTCATTAACATTTAAAGGAAAATGGCTTGATCTGAAAAGAGCTGTTTTTGACAGGGTAAAAAAGGTGTTTTTTACACTACCATTGAGAAATTTTAACCAAACTATGTTACAGACCTTTCATGAAGACCCTAAAGAATCATATCAACTTGTGGAAAATGAGCATCCTATGACCCCTTTAAGAATATTTTCATGAATCCAGTCTGCTCACCTCTTTCTTATGAAACAGCCAAAATTCAGCCAGTTTATGACACAAGTAAACCTATTTCTGCAGACAGACTGCATTTTATGAAATGAAGACTTTAAAAACACCACAATCTTAGGATCTAATATTTGTACAAAGATCTCAATTTTTGTGAGAGTGTGCAGTGGTAGTCCTACAATACCACTAAACTATGGAAATATGGAAAGCCAAACACACCAAAAGAAGGAATCTGTACTGCTCACATCAACAGTTACTGTATATGTTATATGGTCTCAATATATAAATGCATAAAACAATGCATAAAACAACAATGGCGAGATAAAAAGGTGCAATCATGAGAAATAAAGTGAGATTGTTAGATATAGTTTGTAGAGGAATGTTTGTGTGATCCTGATTCCTGAACTATAATTTCTGTCATTGTATGTGGAACATACGCAGAAAGGAAGAAAACTGGTATACCTGTATATTGTTGGAAAATAAACAACATTGTTTTCCTGCTCCCCTATTTCTTGAGAAAGCAGAATCTGGTTCAGTCAAGTTTATAATGCAAGAGAAATGGTTTCAGCAGACTGACCACATTTTTTTTGAAAGAAAGCACTTGAACTACATCAGGAGAGAAAACTGATACAAATGTAATCTGTATATATATATATATATATATATATATATAATTTACCTGAATGTGATCAGTGATTTGTCAGAAATTCAAATCAGAGTAGAAGAATCTCTTCAGTCAATTAAGTTGTATATATCTATTGTCTATTTAAAAAGCACTGCCTGTAAAATGAATCTCTGTGAGAAGAGAGAGGAGGAGGAGGATGTTCACACACATGAAGCAGCATCTCCAGAACTCAGCTGTGTGTCTGTGAAGAGTGATGAGTCCATTGAAAAACCCCCTGATCTCAATGATGGAGCAGTGACCTCAGACTCTGAGTGAGTATAAATGGGATGGAACATGATAAACAGGGAGGTTGACTACAGACATGTTTTATACAAAATATAAAGTCTGCAGATTTCCCACTAGCCAGGATTTTCAGTTGAATTTTGCTTAATGTAAAGAGTTATTGAAGAATCTAAAGGAGTCTACGCTATCTGAACGGGCACTTCTGTGTGAATGTGGTGTCATTTCAAACTAGAGCGCTGAGTTTGATGTGCTAGAACATTTCAATGCAGTTTTCTGTTCATCTCACTGTTTCTACAGAGTGAAGAGTGATGATGTGATCAGATCAGTGATGTTTTATCTGACATGCTTTGTCTCCTACTGTCGGAACTTTCTGGGGTGGCAAAACATAGAAGCTCTGCAGACACACAAACTGCTGAAGGAGAATGCAGACTTACAGCACAATTCTCACCAACCAGTAGATGATGTCATACAGAGAGTGAAAGATCAACATAAAACCAGCATGAAGAACAAGTATGAGAGATTGTTTGAGGGAATCACAGTAGAAGATAATCAAACCCTCCTGAACTGGATCTACACACAGCTCTACATCATAGAGGGAGAGAGTGAAGGGGTGAATGAAGAACATGAGGTTTTACAGATGGAGAAAACAACCAGAACACAAGACACTCCAATCTACTGCAATGACATCTTTAAACCCTTACATGAACCAGGATGTGAGGAGAAAGACAAAATCAAGACTGTTCTTACGAAAGGCATCACTGGAATTGGAAAAACTGTCTCTGTGCAGAAGTTCATTCTGGACTGGACAGAGGGAAAAGCCCATCAGGATGTAGATTTCATGTTTGTGCTTCCATTTCGAGAGCTAAACTTGATTAAAGAAGACCAGTACAGTCTTCACAGACTTCTGCTGGACTTTCATCCTGAACTTCAAGATCTGGACTCAAAGGTTTATGAAGAGATTAAAGTTGTGTTCATCTTTGATGGTCTGGATGAAAGCAGAATTACACTGATGTTTTCAGACATTGAGAAAGTTTGTGATGTGAATGAGTCTTCATCAGTGAGTGTGTTGATGTCAAACCTCATCAGAGGAGAGCTGCTTCCCTCTGCTCTCATCTGGATCACCTCCAGACCAGCAGCAGCCAATCAGATCCCCTCAAAATTCATCAACCGTGTGACAGAAATTCAGGGATTCAATGAGCCTCAGAAGCAGGAATATTTCAGGAAGAGAATCAGTGACGAGCATCAAGCCAGCAGAATCATCTCACACATTAGAAGATCAAGAAACCTCAACATCATGTGTCACATACCTGTCTTCTGCTGGATCTCAGTCTCTGTGCTTCAAAACCTCCTGAAACATCACAGTGCAGAAATCCCTCAAACTCTGACTGAAATGTACATCCACTTCCTGCTGACTCAGATCAACATAAGGAATCAGAAGTATGATGAGAGAAATCCAGAGAAACTCCTAAAGTCCAACAGAAGAGTGATTGTGAAACTTGCTGAATTGGCTTTCAGTCAGCTGATGAAGGGCAATGTGATGTTCTATGAGGAGGACCTGATTGAGAGCGGCATATACATCACTGATGCCTCAGTGTATTCTGGAATCTTTAAAGAGGAATCTGTAATTCATCAGAGGAAAGTTTACAGCTTCATACATCTGAGCTTTCAACAGTTTCTAGCTGCATTTTTTGTGTTTTACTCAAATGTTGTCAAAAATAGGGAATCACTGCAGTTGTTCCTGGATGGATGTAACTGGAACATCTGGGAATGCGGTCTTCTGCATGAGATACTAAAAGCAGCAGTTAATAAATCATTGCATAGCAAAAATGGACACTTGGATCTTTTCTTGCAGTTCCTGTTTGGCGTCTCACTGGAGTCCAACCAGAGACTCTTACAGGATCTACTGAC